ACCAAATATGAAGAATAGTTATTTGGCAAATACTAAAAGTCATCCTTGTGTGGGTTGAAGCTACATGCACTACAGACTGCTGACATAAGAAATAATTTTGACATTCTTTAAGGTTGCACAATGGGCAGATTTAAGAACTGAAGAAATCTGGATCATAAAGAATGTGGCTTGGATTATCTTGACAATGACAACCTTTCTGTGATTTGCTCACTTCATTTCAGTGTTATTTACAGAAATGAACACATTATATTAGATTGTGGTGATGCAGAGTGTCAGAAAGACAATTTGCATTAGTAACTGCATACATTAACATGTTGGGAAAAGTTCATTTTTTTTCACTAGAACTGAAGAGAATAGTGAGAACTCAGATGCATTTAAATAGAGTGATTTTTCACCAGAAAAGCCTTCATGAACAATCTTATTTGGAATAACAGAATGAGCATCTTCCTGTTTATTCCTCATATAGCCTTCTCTGTTTACAGTTTCACAATCTTCATAAAAATACCCACTATACCGACTACTATTCTAATATCATAACAGGTAATTATACTGCTCTTTCAGGCTTCTAAGACAAAGAATACACCAAAATGATTGCCGGCGCTGCATGTGGGGAAGAGAGCTGCCACAAAAGCCCAGGACAAGTACAAACTCTACTGGAGCCTCCTGGAGTCCACAGTTCATGACACTCTGGCATAGTAAGAGACTATACAGAAAAAATCCAAACACCTTGACCTAAATTTACTCACTTGGCATGTTATTTGACCACTGAACTATGATATGGTACTACAGGTCCTAACTTAGGATCCTGATAAGGGTGACAATCCTGGCACAGGGCCTGGAACAGAGTTCAATAAAGAAGAGCCATCCTTATCATTACTATGGGAATGATGCTGACCTTCAGAGATCGACTATTGAGGCTACAATTTTAATGTGTGCTATTTGTTGTGCAAAGTAAAAGTAAAGCATGAGTCTTATCACCAAACCTGACACATGCTGCAAGTTCAGTAATGAAAACCTCATCTAGGGACTGGTATGGCGTAGTAAGTTAAGCCTCCATTTGCAGTGTCAGTATTGTATATGGGTTCAAATACCAGCTATTCTAGTTCCAATCTAGCTCCCTGCTGGTGGCCTGGGAAAGTGGCCAAAGTCAGCCTAAGTTCTTGGGCCCCTGAACCCATGTGGGAGACCCAAAAGAAGTCCCAGACTCCTGTGTTCAAATCAACCAAGCTCTGGCCATTGTGGCCATTTTGGGAGTGGGCTGGTGGATGGAAGATCTCTGTTTCTCTTCTTTCTGTTAATGTGCCTTTCAAATAAAAGAAATCCTTAAAAAAATGTAACTCTTATACTAATGTGCATGGCTATGTGATAGCAAACCACCAAAAGTTAAGAATTATATGATTGAAAGCAGCCTCAGGCTATCAAGACCAGTGCCCTAACAAGATGCCTTTTTCTACCAGGTTATGTAAGTAATAGCTCAGCCACATCTACTGTTTTGTAGAGGAAAGTATAGTGGAAGTTGAGCAGCTAGCTCCCACCTCCAGAAAGCTGAGGCTGTGCTTCTTAGTAGGAACAGGCTTTAGGGACAGTGGTGACCTAGCCTTAAATAAGCACTAAACAGCAGCAACAATGAAAGTGACTCAGCACTCCCTTTAAATTCTTGCTACTTAATTATGAATTCAATGTACTATGTAGCATTTCCTGAGGTCTTCCCATGAGACCATCCTCTACTGCAGTTTGCAGCAGCCGCTCTTTAAGCAGAATGGTCACACCTGGAGCTCTAGAAGCAGGGTTCCTTGCGAAGTCCAGAAATTAGACAGATATTAGAAAGCCCTAAACGTCACTAAAGATAATTAGTGTGTAAGATCATATCAGAAAAACTGCACAGCAGGCTATGATTTGTTAATAACTTTCAGGTAAAGCAAAAATTTTTGAAACAGCACTTTCTTATTTTAATCTTACCTTCATCAAGAACAATGAGGAGCTGAATTAGAAAAGTTAAAATCTTACCTTGGCACCATGTTTTAGTGTGGGCAGAGCGGGGAGCTATGCAGACACCTAGTTTGAGGACATACCTATAGTGCAGTTTTCCCCAGTTTTAAAATATGTACTTAAACTAGCAGAGACAGTAGTCTTTCAATAACTGCATCTACTCATTGTGTGACACACATTTGAGTGAAGTGGATGGTGAGATGCTTTACAACAGCCATATGTTCTGTCAAACACTGAAGGCTCAGCACACTGTTAAGAACCCTCAACTTCACACAGAAGGGAAAAAGAAACAACTGAAGCAGGTGTCCCACCCAACTTCCTCCATACCCCAACCCTCCCACCCTGTCAGAGGCACACACGGGAGTGCCTTCCTCTCAAAGACGAAAGTAATATTAAAAAGAAAATAGTAATTTTTAAAAGAACTCAATTTTATTTTCTGGATCAGAAATAGTTGGTGCTATGCATTCGCAGGTTCTGCACCCACATATTCAGCCAACCATGGTTCAAAGAAATTGCGTATGTAATTTACTCCTTGTCCTTATTCCCTAAACAGTACAGTAAACATTTATCTGGCATTTACATTATATGTATTAGGTTTACTGAACAGTTTAGAGATGATGTGATGTAAAGTATGCAAGAGGATGTAAACAAGGTCTATGCAAATACTATGCCACATAAGGAACTCGAACACCTGTGGATTTTTATATCGTGTAGCAATGGTGGCAACAGGCGGGGGAGTGTCCCAGAAGCAGTCCCTGAAGGTTACCAAGACACAATTGTATTGGGATAATGAAAAGCATGCAATCAAAGCTTAGTAAGCAGCTAGTAGTTCTATTGCCTTGTCATGTCGCTTAGATCTTTGAACTTGAGCTTTCTCACCTGTCTAGCAGGGTGGGCATAATGACTTTATGCACAGAAAGAACTTAGTTGTTGCTGGGTTTTGGGTTTTTTTTTTTTTTTTTTTTGCAGCCTCTAGTAAACAGAAATATCTAAGTACCTGATTCTTCAGGAGAAAGAGACTATATGCATGAGTTGCCAAGATTCCAGGAGAATCATAACTTTCAACTCCCTTCCAGCCGGAAGGCTAGTGAATTTACAAGATAACTTAATTGCTAGGAAAGCATTTGGCCTCCCTCCTCATATTAAATGTAAATAACGTAAAAGGGCTCAATAAATGTCAGCTGCTATCACTTTTACTCTTCTTATTTACTAATAGTTTTCCTTTGTGACCTTGGACTAGTGATACCAATGATCCTAAACATTTGTACAATTATTAAAACATATTTATTTTTATTGGAAAGTCAGATATACAGAGAGGAGGAGAGAGAGAGGAAGATCCTTTGTACACTGATTCATGCCCCAAGCAGCCGCAGCGAACAGAGCTGAGCTGATCTGAAGACAAGAGCCAGAAGCTTCTTCCAGGTCTCTTACGTGGGTACGGGGGGTTCCCAAGGCTTTGGGCTCTCATCAACTGCTTTCCCAGGCCACTAGCAGGAAGTTGGATTGTATGGGAAGCACGGATGCCAGGGTTAGAATTGGCACCCATATAGGATCCTGATGCTTGTAAGGTGAGGACTTTAGCTGCTAGGCTACTGCGCCAGGCCCAACATTTGTAAAATTATTTATACCTTCCTCATTCCTTCCCTAACCTCTGAACCCACAGTTTTCCTAAGGATATGGGTTTTTTTTCTCACATGTGTCACTGACAGATTCTCCCAAACATTCCAAATCATGTGGCTATCAAAGTTTGCCAAGATTTCTGATTTCCTGAATGGGCATCCTTTGCGCATACAAGTATCCTTAACTCAGCAGGTGTTTAGCCTGTCTATCAAGATGCCAGTTAAGACAGCCATCCATTTCCCAGATCACATTAACTGGATTCAATACGAGGCTCCAGCTCTTGATCGCAGCTTGCTGCTAATGCAGACCCTGGGAGGCCTGGAGTGTGTTACCCAAGTACCTGGGTTTCTGTCACCCACATAGGAGATCTGGATCAAATTTCTGGCTCGTGACTTCAGAATGGCCCAGTTCTAGGTTTTGCAAGTATTTGAGGAGGTAGTAGACAAAAGTCCTTTCTGTCTGTGTGTCTTTCAATTTCTCTGCCTCTTGTCAACCAAATCAAAACAAAATTATTATTTTTAACTCCAGGGACATTCTCAAAGCTCTACAGCTTCCAGACCAACAGTGCTTGCCTGAGGCTAAGTGAGGTGGAGATAAGTGCCTGCTTAGAAGTGATGTGATCACTGCTGTGGAAATCCTGACCTTAGAAGGAATAAATGATCCCTGCCATAGTAATACTAATGGCAGGAAGTGGGCTGCAGTCAGACTGGAAACTTGATTTCTCAAGGCAAGTTTTCAGACCCCAGTCACTTGCTCCTTGTTTGGTTTTAGTAAGAAAAAAATGACACTGGCAACAGCTGCTAGTTCTTGGGTGGATGTCAGCAGCTAGAGTTTAAACAGTCTTTTGTTTAAACAGTAGGAAGCTGCACAAATGAGTTAGACTTCCCAAGAGTCAAAGCCTGGTACAGAGGAAATAAACAAAGTGTTAAAGACCTGTTAGATAAGAATGAGGTTGAATAACTAGTTCAAAAGCTAAAGGAAGTAGCCTCAAAGGACTGCGTTCCTTGGGGACTTAGAGTAGCCTCCTAGGTGACTTAGGGCTCAGGGGTTGCTTAGGGCTAGGGGTTTGTACGTGTATTCATGCGATATATATCATAAATTTCCCTCTCCTGTGCCCTTTGGCTGCATCAGGAGGGAGTTAAGAGCCTTCCGTGCCTATTCCAGTAGGGAGGCTGTGAGGACCACGGTGGGGGACGAAGTATGCTCTCCCACCATGATTTCAGGAGTCCTTAGGGCTTTTTGAAAAAGAAAAAGGTAGGTAGAATACAATTTTAAGGCCAAGAAGTCTATTGCTATGCTTTGAATAAAAACAAAACAAAACAAGTAAAATCAGATATTTTCTCAAACAAAATGCTCCATCATTAGTCATTTGCATGAAAAGTCAGGCTTACCTTGACATATTGAACAAGACGCTCACTGATGTTCACTTTGTATGTTTCTATACCCAGTTCCTTTGATAAGCGTAAGATTCTGTTCTGAGTCGGTCCCACATAAGCTCCACCAACATCCACATAATTGACTTGTTCATTCTGCACAAAGAAATAAAGGGATCAGAAGTGCAATTAAAACCTAAGAGAAAAATGCCTTTATATGTCACGAAAAATGAACTCCACTGCTCTTTCACATTTAAGTAGGCTGCATATCTCTCTTAGAAAATGCTATTGGGGCCTGGCACAGTGGCCTAGCTGCTAAAGTCCTCACCTTGAACGCGCCGGGATCCCATATGGGCGCCGGTTCTAATTCCGGCAGCTCCACTTCCCATCCAGCTCCCTGCTTGTGGCCTGGGAAAGCAGTCGAGGACAGCCCAAAGCCTTGGGACCCTGCACCCGTGTGGGATATCTGGAAGAAGTTCCTGGATCCTGGCTTCGGATCGGCATAGCATCGGCCGTTGTGCTCACTTGGCGAGTGAATCATCGGACAGAGAGGAAGACCTTCCTCTCTGTCTCTCCTCCTCTCTGTATATCTGACTTTCCAATAAATAAATAAATCTTTTTTAAAAATGCTATTAAAAACAGCCATAACTTCTCCTCCATTCAAGAACTGGAGCACAGCCCTGTTGTCACTCTTAATAAGGCATTTTCACCAGAGCTAACAGGGAGGCCCATTCAGCAACGTAATGAATAATTATGTATGTCCTGCCGGTCTAGATTCTTTCCAAAACATCTAAGTCACTATGTATACTCTTCTCTGGGGTTACTGCTGGAGAAGCTACCCTGAAATTTACCTTGTTTTGTACTCTGATTTTCACTAGATGAAATTTTAAGTCAGCCCACCATGATGGGCTCTTGGTACTATGCTAAAATAATTCCAAGAAAGAATTCATAACAGAGGACATAAAAGGTACTAAAATACTCATATGCCTACTAAATTATTTATGCATAATGCAAGCTCTCTCTATTAGACTAAAATTATTTACTTTCCCCTGTTAAACATGGTTTTTCACTTTTTTAGGCCATTCAGTATTTACCAATGATTTAATTTAAAAATTCAACATTGCTGAGGTATAATTCCTCTTTGTTTTTGTGATAGCTTCTTAATGATCTACTTCTATACTATGGCTTGTACTAGTTCTCATGTGTATTTTCTTTTATCTTTGCTGCCTGATTGTTTTTTGTTGTGTATAATTCATTACACTTGAAAAAAAATTGAAAAAGTAATTTGAATCCTAAGAGATGACAAAGAAAATTTATGCTTACTTTTGTCTAGCCTCCGTGACTCTAATAGTACTGCATAAGTTTATTCCATCTTTAATGCCTGGCATGATTTGAAGCTCCACTGAAGTGTATATGTGGTGTAGTCTTTGCAACTCTGTTAGATCGAGCAAAGAGTTGATCAACACCTCCCCGTCCTGTCATGCACGAACATTTTGCTGGGCTCGACTTGATCTTATGTAAACTCAGCTTTGTAAGAATCAGTCTACCAGCAGCTTCGTCAGTGGCTGGCAATTCTACCTTACCATCTACAGAAAAGTAGGTCAATCCATTCCAGTGTTGTTCCAGAGAATCTTTGCTATCTTGTCGATGCTTTACCTATCTGCTGCTTTGAAAGTTGTATATGTGTTTCTGTATATTACAGTTTGTCTAGTATGTACTTTATACAACCTGTCTCATTTATTACCTCGAGGAAAAAAGCATTCCTGACAGAAGAGCGAGCTAGCACAGAGACTTAAAGGTAGAAATGTGCACACTATATTGAAGAAACAACAAGGGTGGTTAGCGAGGTGGCCTAGTAGCTAAACCCTCGCTTTGCATACACCAGGATCCTATATGGGTTCCGGTTTGTGTCCCAGCTGCTTCACTTCACATCCAGCTCCCTGCTTGTGACCTGGAAAAGAAGTAGAGGATGGCCCAAACCCTTGGGACCCTACATCCACATGGTAGACACAGAAGAAGCTCCTGGTTCCTGGCTTCAGGTCAGCTCAGCACCAGTCATTCCAGCCACCTGTGGAGTGAACCAGTGGACAGAAGATCTTTCTCTCTGTCTTGCCTTCTCTCTGTAAATCTGTATTTCCAATAAAAATAAATAAATCTTAAAAAAAAAGAAATAACAATGAAGCCAATGTGGATATAACAAAAATAGGCAAGGAAGGGAGAACCAGAGATAAGATTAGAGAGACTACTAGGTGCCCAGCCAGATAAAACCTCACAGGGATCGCAAAGACGCTGGTTTATCCTATGAACAAAAAGAGAAACTTTTGGAAGGTTTAAGGCAGAGAAGAACAAAGTTTGGCTTTCAAAGATTCATTCTCTATGCCTAAGGATAGATTCTTGGGTGGAAGGATGAATGAAAGTAGGGAAATTAGTCAGCTGGTGCCAGCAATCTGGCAGATATGATGGTTTTTCCCACCAGAAGGTAGCAGCAGAAAACAGGGAGTAGGTGCTGATTCTGGATGTGACTTCCCTGTCAGATTAGAACAGGTGACCTTATTCAGACTTTTATGTATTTCAATAGGGAATTGACAATGCCCATTCTGCCAAAAAAGCACAAATAAAGTGCTTCTCTGACTTCTTTGATCAGTCCCTCAAACTCTTTATATTTCCCTTCACTAACCATCAGTGAAACCATCTATTTGAAGATCAAAGAACAAAACTGGATGCCAAGAAATTTCCAAGCTTTAACTAAGACAGCAAGAGGACTCTTGGGAGTTTTTCAAACATTACGTCTTTAGAATACTGACATGCTCTTTAAAGGGCAGGCATTTGGCATGGCACTTAAAACTCTGCTTGGGATGCACCTGGCTGGAGCTCTGGGCTCCAGGCTCCTGCCTGGTCCAGCCCTAACTATTCAGGGCATTTGGGAAATGAACCAGCAAATAGATATCTCTCTCTCTCTCTCTCAAAATCTCTCTCTCAAAATACCTCTCCTCTTCAAATAAATTAAAGACTAAATAAGTAAAATGACTACTTTTACATGAAGGCATTTTACAGAAAGCTTCTGTACAAAATAGAAATGTTCTATTGGTCTACGTCTCATCACTCAGCCTTCATAAATGCTAAGCTCTAACTCCCAAGATTTATTTCTCATATACTCTCTGGTATTATAATATCATGCCAAATACAAAATAGCAGTGCCCATGTAGTGCTGACATATATTAATGATGTAATATGCTAAAGCAGCCTGGGCCAAAATCACAGATAGGGACAACTATGTTGGAATTCTCATTTCCGTTAAACAAAGAAACTCATTCTTAACTGAAAATCTGTAACATGACTGATGTTTTTATTTAATAAGCAAGAGGTTTTAGAGACTAAAAAAAAAAAGTATAGCTAACCAACAGCTTCACAACCACCTCCAAAATGAAGGAATATTTTTCAGAAAATGACAGAAAAATCATATCTAACAAAGGCATATAGGCATAACAGGCAAGCCTGTTTTCACATAACTGAATGTTGTCTTCAATTAGAATTTGAAGATGGAAGGGAGATTCTTGAGGGATATCTAGATTTCATCTTATTGTCAGATGAAAAAAATGGAGATGTAGTATGTTTGCAGGCCTTATCTGAGATAGCATGATAGGCAGTATGGGGCTAGGATCCCAGTCTCCTCATTCTAAGACCATAACCTTTCCAACAGACTATATCTGAGGGACTACAAAAATGTAATCCATATATAGCTTTTTCATATTATGCATTTTCCATGAAGTTTCTGAAATCCTAATATATAAGTACCAAAATCACTTACCCTCACAGTATATGTTCTTCCTCCAACCCTGTCCCGGGCTTCCAAAACCAAAACATTAATATCATACTCAGATAAGAGTTTGGCAGCCGCCAAACCTAAAGGAAAAATAATAGAACCAGATTAACATTTAAACATTAAATATCTAAGATTTACACAGGTTTACACATAAAATGAATGTAAGGTATCACATATAATCCATTTATTCTGCTTTGTTTTTAATAGATTCCAACCATACTAATCAACAGAAATATCAATTTCATTTTTTATCATAAAGGATTCCAAAATGACTGATTTTTTTATTTTGTATTTCAAGGTGGTTGACATACATAACCTACAAAAAAAATTAAAATGTGTATCTTATTTTCTGGTAAAATCAAATCCCAAATTCAACCTTTTGAGCCTTGAAGCAACCCCGATAATGCCTCTCTTCCAGAAATCCTGTTCTTATGAACCTAAGAGCATATTTTCTTAACAACTTTTCATGTTCAGACTAGCACTCACTATGCATATGGGCTTTTTATTCAATCTCAAAGTCTTGTACCATTCTGGATCACAAGCTTTATAGACCTTTTTCCCTACTACTTTCTCAGTTGCCAACAGGCAGGAATCATGCTTTATATCTAATTCATTGGCTCAAATCTGAAAACAAATTTTAACATGAAAATAAAAGCCTTAATAAAAGATAGAATATTTTAAACGCAAAGTAGTGTCACCAGGAAAGTTGGAAAAATCTCCTAGTGCAACATTGTACCAAGGGTGTGTGCTAGCAACATTATTTGTCAATGATGTTGACCTTGACCTGATTGCCTAGCAGAGAAGGTGTTTCTCATGTCTCCCCACTATGAAGTTAACTCTCCAATCACCTTCCATACTGCACTGGCTGGATGGAAGGCTCTCCTTAAGCACAAATCTGGGGAGTAGGAAGCTAGAGTGCTACCTATTTGAGGGTACAAAATCTATATAAACTATTTGGAATTCTTTTGCACTGGAGAGTTGTCTCTTCTTCATATTACTCAACTATTTATATCAGTATGAATTCACAATTTACTTGACATTTTGGGATATAATTTGGTACTAAAGTATTTTGTGGCTCACTTTGCTCCATCTTTGGTCATTGGGAGCTCTTTCAGCTGCTTCTGTGCCCCTTTGACAATCACCCTTTGTTAAACCTGCGTATGTGTGTGTGCATATCTGATCACTTTGTTACTTTCTGGGACTAAAAGATTCCTCAGGCTCATCTTGTCTTTTTCCTGCCTCAGACTTGGACTAAGCCACTTCTCTTGAGTGTGCTTGCTTTTATTAGGGAATGCGAAAAAATGGAACACAGAAAAGTAGTAATTCAGGTATGACACAGGTAACTCTTTAATTACACTGCAATAGGGAGGATGCATTTAAAACAACACAATTCCTCTCCTCTCCTGAATTCAAATAAAAGATGTGATTAATGGATTTGCTAAAAAGGCGAGCTTAAAAAGAAAAGCAAATCTGCTAAAAATATACACCTTATTTGACAAGTTTCAGCTGTGTTAGTCCTAGTTATAGTGACTTTGATTAGGAAAACCTGAGGAGCAGTTTACACAGGCAGAGCACTGTTGCCATAGCAACCTCAAATCAAGCTCCAGCTCCTTAGCCTCTGCTCATGAAAACTGTGTTCCCAAAGAGTTTCCAAAATCCTGAGATGGCTACTGTCCCCAGATAAATGGTCTACAAAATTATTTCACTCAGATAGTACCGTTGGGTGTCAGTAATATCTGTGATGAGGCCTTCAAAGAAATAATCTTTTACTCCCTGGATATATATTTTGGGCATCCTGTCATAGTGGAACCTGATTTCCACACTTACCGCTGCTTTTCCTACCTTGCCAAGAGACAGAGATCTCCTCTATGCTGGCTCACTCCCTAAATGTCTGCAATGGCCCAGACTGAGCCAAGACTAAAGTCAGGAGATGAGAATTCGAGCCAGGTCTCCCATGTGGATAGTCACAGCACACCATAAGGTGTCATCTGCTGCCTTCTAGATTGCATATTAACAGAAAGCTGCAGTTTGGAGTGGAACTGGGACTTGAACCCAGATATTGCTGTACAGGATATGGATATCCCAACTAGTATCTTAACGACTAGGCCAAAGAGCCATACCAATACTATGTCATAGGAAAAACATCAATTTCTTTTGATTCACTGGTGCCACCCTTTGCAGTTCCTGTGCCTTGATTCAGTGGCACACATCCAACTGAAGAATATTCTTAGGAAAACAAAACAAAAATCTTGTAATGAACTGAAAAGAAAACATGACTGGGGCAGGCTCCCATTTGATCACCCTAGTACGGTTTTTCCTTGTCTCAGTATTCACAGGAGATTGGTTCCAGGAAACCACCCCCCCAAGATACCAAAATTCATAAGTGGTTAATTATCTCTTATAAAACGGCTTAGCATTTGCAAAGAACCTATGCACAACAACTTTAATTCATTCCTAGATTACTTATAACACCCTAATACAATGTAGATGTTACATAAAGAGTTGGTATGCTCTACTGTTCAGGGAACCATGATTAAAAGAGTATCAACACAGCTACAGTTTGTATGAATATTTTCAATCCACAGTTGGTTGTGTCTGTGAATGAGAAACCAGTGAATATCGAGAAACATCTACTATATGCTGAAGAGCTCCTGCTACGGAGCTAGCACACTTTGGAATCATACTTCACTATTTAGTTGGTGATTATCTTAGAAAAGTTTCCTTAAGCCGTTTTTGCATCTCTAAGAGGAAATGATAACAGCTCTGCCTTGCTGGTTGATGTGAGATTAAACAAGGTAACATGTGTGATTACTCAGCCAAGTGACTCATGCATGATAAATGTTCCATTAGTACGAGCTGTCATCAGCAGCATTAAGGTCACCAATAATGTCCTTTTTCTACGGCTCATGGGTTTACTTCAATCCTTAAATTCCCTTGTATTCTAATTGCTATTCCTGATTCATATATCTGTAACTTTAGTGTCTTCCTTAAGCAATACTTCTTTAGTACTGATTTTCAGCATTTCCCAATGGGTGTTATACAGAAAAATACTTTCTTCTGGTGTACATAAGATTATCTTAGCACTGTTCAATAAGACAAATATCAGATTAAGTTCACTGCATTGCAGGCTATAAAGCTAGATTTTGGGGGACTATATGGCAGGAGTTTTTTAAGTAGGAGACTGATTCATCCTACTTTAACTTCTTAAGGAACCATCCTGCTTATGGTGAGGAAAATAGACTGTAAAGAAACAAAAGAGAAGGAAGCGTGGGGTCTAGTTAACAGGCAGATCTCTGCCCAAGAGACCATGGTGACTTGGCTAACAGAAAAAGTACACAGAGGCTTGGGGGATGCCTGTAGTTATATTAGTGAGAAGTGGTCAGGTTGAGGGCATATTTTGAAGGTAAACCAATAGGACTTGCCATTAGAATGGATATGGTAGGGGGCCCAGCGCAGTGGCCTAGCTGCTAAAGTCTTCCCCTTGAACACGCCAGCATCCTATAGGGGCGCCAGTTCTAATCCCGGCAGCTCCACTTCACAACCAGCTCTCTGCTTGTGACTTGGGAAAGCAGTGAAGGATGGCCCAAAGCCTTGGGACCCTGAGCCTGCGGAGGAAGCTTCTGGCTCCTGGCTTTGGATCGGAGCAGCACCAGCCATTGCAGTCACTTGGGAAGTGAATCATCAGATGGAAGATCTTCCTCTCTGTCTCTCCTCCTCTCTGCATATGTGACTTTGCAATAAAAATAATATAAATCTTTAAAAAATAGAACAGATATGGTATACAAGAACAACAAAAAAAAAGGAGTGAAAAATGGCTTAAAGATGTCTGATCTGAGAATATAGGTAAATGGAGGTGTTATTTGCTAAAAAAAAAAATAGCAAAAGGAAAAATCAGTTATAAAGTAACAGCAAGTGTCCTATTTTAGACATATTAGGTTCAAGATGCCTAAATGACCTTGGCATGTAGTATGAATTTCTAGAAAAATAGGAATGGGTCATATATCCTTCCACTCCTAGAACAGAGCTTGCTATATCACAGGTACCAATATGCTTGCTGCAACTAGTACAAGAGTCACACAGTGAAGAAAAGAAAACTATGCTAATGGATGAGAGCAACAAGGTAAGTTGCTAATGCCCTTTAAATTATGTTTATCTCAGACAACTAAGAAATATTAACAACGTTAAGGTGACAGGCCATTTTGATCTTCACACCTAAATAAGCCAGCAGGTTCTAAATAGCACTAGCATATTCTCTCATCATCAGGCCAGTATTGCACTTCTGGCAGAAGAAAACAGACTCGCAACATGCATACAAACTTGTTCCTAATACATACAACTGTAACATCTCATCTCTACCCATATCCATCTGCATTTTGTGCTTCCTCTCAAAGAAACAATTTTCTGCTTTGGAAAAGGTCAAATCTCCTAGTCCCTTTAATGAGCTAAAAAGAAAGGCCCATTTCAAATGATAAATAGATGAAAGCTAACAATTAACTTCAATTTGCCCTGAATTCAACAGACTGGTTGTCTAGACAGTCCTAATTTATTTGATTATTGCCCAGCATTCATCTTCACTTTATATAAACGGATGTCAGCCAGGTTAGAGAATGCAATTACCTCTTAATTCATTATTTGTGCCATTCTTTCACTGAAACTTGAAACACAACAGGGACCCTCATACTGCTCTTATTCTGTACACTAGGATGGACTATGGTTTGAAGCAATACTTCTGACAATGTTTTATGAAATGTTAGTCCTCAAACAAGATGCTATGGGGGGAAAGTTTATGGACATTGAGACAACTAATGCTAATTTTTCCCTCCAGAAATGCTTGGTGCACATTATGATAATCAAGGCCTTGAGAAGTCCTACAGTAAAGAAACCCATTTAAATCAGCATTTCTGCACTTTGCCATTAAAAACAACAACAAAAATTATATCTCAAATCAAATATTGGGAAAGCTGGCTTCATTCCTTATAAGATTGTATAAATAGATATGGTAATAAACTCCTATAAGAGAGTCCTAGTAAAACAATGCCTGCAGAAATATCTGAGAGGGCCCGGCGCGATGGCGCTGTGG